TACTTGTCCCTCCAGATATACTACTTGCCCCTCCAGATATATTACTCGCCCATCTGTACAATCAAGTCTAGCTACGACATGTAGTCATATATTGCCTTTCACCATTGTCTCATCAGATATATTACTCCCCCCCTCCTCCCCCCTTCCAAACAATCAAGTCTGTAGTCATGTATTGCCTTATTGGCCTAAATGAAATGAAATGAAGGTTTTGTAATAAAAAAATATAATTTCTATAAGCCTTCGTATTTGAATTTCCACCATCTATGTCAATTCAACTTCTATAAAATGTTGATAGAGCGAACTTAATCAAATTTATTTCCATTTACATCAACTTTTGGAGTGGATTTAATTAAAAAATTGACTTTATCTAATAGTTCACATAAGTGTTAGTTTGAATCAAATAAAGTTCGTCTTCAATTAAAAAAACGTTTGAGGCGTTAACTCTGTGAGAAAACGATTTCGAAATCAAAACAAATGTTACAAAATTAAAAAAAAGTAATAAAAAAATAACAAAGAAATAATGTTCGTTACTTAAAAAGGGAGAGGGGGGGGGGCGGTCTATTGTTGCAGAAAAATTTTTTCAAAACGCGTTGCACTCCATACCCCACGTTGCACCATATGGGCTAATGAAGACAGGTTAAGGAAAATTTTGCTAGGACATCGGCATTAGCTTTCTCCTTTTCGATTTTGAACTGTCGAGGAATTTTTAACATGCACAGCCTGTAGCACACAGGCCTTGGTTTATTGCCCCGGCTTTATGAGGGGTGAGTCAAGGTAACCATTTAGGTCTATATGTAATTACGAGAGAAGCACACGTCATTACGATTTGGTAATGTTTCGTGCCTCGAGTCAATTAAATAAATATTATGAGAAGTAATCTAGCGACCACTGTATTACACCTGTCATTTAAAACAAGGTGATCTCTTCACGCAGATCACTAGCCCTCACTGATCATAATTCAATAACTGTTCACTAGACCAGCGACGGAGGGTTAAGGAATTTTAAGTGAGTGGAGTTATCAAAGACGTAACTGTAATAACGAAAGCAGGTGTCGAGGATACAGTTTAGCTGAAGTAGGAATTGGATTTGATTTTTTTGGATAATTGTAAATTGTTTGGAGCAATTTTATTATAAGGTATTTTAAATTTATTTTATGACTTTTAAACATTTTTCATTTTTCCCAGATTTAAGGTAGAACTTCTTGAAATTTCTCGATGTTTTCAAAACTTCACAAAATTCAGTCCCAGATTTTTATCATTTTCTTCATTGTCCACTGTATGACATTGTTCATTGTTCGATAGCAACATCTGGAGAACTGCATTCCATTGCCGTTGCTCAAACACTCCTAAAAAACTGCTATGCTAAAATTACGACAACAAAAATTTGTGTCGGACCTCACAGCATCAGTCATTTCAAAACTGGAGGATGAAAAAATTCAGAGTAGGGGGCTTGGAGGAGGGTCGGGGTGGGGCTAAAGATGGACACCCCTTAGAAAAGTATATAAAGCGTATCAAAGTTAGGGAGTTCATATCATTTCAGGTATTTTTTAGAACTCAATGATGAAAAGCCTCCCTCGTAAAACGCCGTTGGTGTCGAAAACCAAAATCAAAGTCGAGATGTTCGTGTTGTTTTTTACAACAAACCTGTGTTACTTATTGATCTTTGACTAAAACATGATAACAGTTCTTCTAGTCCGAAACCCAGTCCCTTGTCTCTAGTTTGTCAACCATGTTTCTCCATGGCAGTTATGCAGTTCGGCATCTTGGTGGTTGTTTGGTAGATGACAAGGTAGTTGTTGTTAGTCGTAGAAGTTTGTAGTATAGGGTCTAGATCAATTGGATGGTTTGATAGATGGTAAAAACGTCTAGTCGTTCGGTGCTTTTGTGTGCTACAGGCTGTGCACGTTAAAAATCTCGCGACAGTTAGAAATCAGAAACAAAGAGTGGGCTAATGCCGTTCTCATACAGTCATAGCAAAATTTCCCTTATTGTACATGACGTTATTTGTTTCCAAAAGCTGATAATTCATATCTAATATGGCGTTGTTTCCCTGCACGTACAATGAGTATCATCTAGTTTCGGACTACAATATGCACTAATTAAAACTCAACTAGTTCACGTCAGTTTAAACATATAAGATGTAAATTAATATACTTGAGGGGAGAGGATGGGCGGGGACCACCGCCATACACCAACCCATTTAGTGTAATAGGTCCTAGAAATTCGATTCGGGAGACATGAATATCCCTTCAATATACATGCTACTGTCAACATGCAATTGGATTTATTCGAAATTTTATATCCTACTGTTCTGTATCTTGTTGGGCTAATGAAATGAAATGGAGTTTTATATTCCACTGTTCTGTATCTTATTGAACTAATGAAATGAAATAGAGTTTTATATCCTACTGTTCTGTATCTTGTTGGGCTAATGAAATGAAATAGAGTTTTATATCCTACTGTTCTCTATCTTATTGAACTAATGGAATGAAATAGAGTTTTATATCCTACTGTTCTGTATCTTATTGAACTAATGGAATGAAATAGAGTTTTATATCCTACTGTTCTCTATCTTATTGAACTAATGGAATGAAATAGAGTTTTATATCCTACTGTTCTGTATCTTATTGGACTAATGGAATGAAATAGAGTTTTATATCCTACTGTTCTCTATCTTATTGAACTAATGGAATGAAATAGAGTTTTATATCCTACTGTTCTGTATCTTATTGAACTAATGGAATGAAATAGAGTTTTATATCCTACTGTTCTGTTCCTTATTGGACTAATGGAATGAAATAGAGTTTTATATCCTACTGTTCTGTTCCTTATTGGACTAATGGAATGAAATAGAGTTTTATATCCTACTGTTCTCTATCTTATTGAACTAATGGAATGAAATAGAGTTTTATATCCTACTGTTCTATATCTTATTGGACTAATGAAATGAAATGTAGTTTTATATCCTACTGTTCTGTATCTTATTGGATTAATGAAATGAAATGGAATTTTATATCCTACTGTTCTGTTCCTTATTGGACTAATGAAATGAAACAGAGTTTTATATCCTACTGTTCTGTGCCTTATTGGACTAATGGAATGAAATAGAGTTTTATATCCCACTGTTTTGTATCTTATTGGACTAATGAAATGAAATAGAGTTTTATATCCTACTGTTCTGTATCTTATTGAACTAATGAAATGAAATGGAGTTTTATATCCTTCTGTTCTGTACCTTATTGAACTAATGAAATGAAATAGAGTTTTATATCCTACTGTTTTGTATCTTATTGGACTAATGAAATGAAATAGAGTTTTATATCCTACTGTTCTGTTCCTTATTGGACTAATGAAATGAAATGGAGTTTTATATCCCACTGTTCTGTACCTTATTGGACTAATGAAATGAAATGGAGTTTTATATCCCACTGTTCTGTACCTTATTGGACTAATGAAATGAAATGGAATTTTATATCCTACTGTTCTGTATCTTATTGGACTAATGAAATGAAACGGAGTTCCGAATTTTACATCATATGGTGCGAATTAACAAATGCAATGTCATTGTTCAACAAAAGAGTTTCCGCAATTATTCCCAAATCATGACCAACATTTTTGATGAGTAGTAAAAATAACTAGTTACTCACTTAGTGACATTTTAACAATTATTTTAAAATCCGGCTTAGTAACGAGGTTACTTGACCTTGGTAGGATTTACAATTCGTCAGCCAATTAACAATTTAGTATGCATTCTGTAAGCTGGTGAGACTAACTACTGAATACACAGCCTTTAAATGATTGGAGCTCATTTTACGTCTGTCTTGGATATAACATCCTCATCGGGACAGTTCGTTTAAAAAAAAAATTCTATGTAGGGCTAACATAATTGACTATAGCTCATATCACGTTGCAAACACGTGTTTCAGATAAGCAAAGCTCATCAGGACAGTTAGTTTTAGAAATGAAAATTAACTTTCCAATATAGGAACTGTAGAGCTTATCGCATAATCGTCATGTGTTTCGGATACACAATCTTCATCAGGGCAAATAGTTTCTGAAATGGAGGTTAACTTTACAATTTAGTTTTAAGGCTCTTTTCATGCTGCTGATACAACACGTGTGTCAGAAACACAGAAACACGATCCTCATACATAGAGTTATCATTTCTGCTGACTGATTGGATCAAGGGCCAGACACAAAGACTGGCTAACACACCTTTCAGTAATCGCGATAAGACATTGCCTTGCGATGTAAACTATTTCCCCCAATACGTTACTCGAGTTATAAAAGGTGCGACTATATGAGTTAGTGTAAAGATGTAAGTATTTTAACCCGGAATTAATATATCATAGAAAACATCTACCGACAAAGTATGACGACTTAGAGTTAACACTTGACTAATAAAGACGATATTAAAGAGGTAGTATCCGTCAATATTAGATTAATCGCTTTTACTCTTAAACAGAGATACGGAGAGATGAAAATGAGAAAATGACGAGATAGAGTAAACATTACACTAACATCAAGGGAAAGTTTCATCAAACAGTTGTCTACAATTCCTAGATTTGTATAGAAAATTTGGACTTCTAGGCAAAATTCATTTCCACAGGGAAAATTAGAAAACTAAGACTTGAAATTTGAAAAGTGCTGTTGAAAACTAATATTGAATTGTAATAGCGTTCAAATATTTCAAAAATTATATACAATCCGCCCCAACACAGAATAAAATACGTGGATATATCCCTTTTATATCAAGGAATGTGGAGCCAAAATTTCTCAAGGTTTTTAAACTAAAATTAACCGGATACACCCCTTTAATAATGTACGACTTTATAGAGCGCAATTTTCTCAGGCGCTTATAACGCGTCATCTCATGAATATTCAACAATATTATTTAAATAACGTTGTTTAATACGGTAACTATGGTAATACCGTATCAATAAACTTTAAAAATCTCGTTAAGTCAATCAGACGGACTGAATATTCTCTGCAATTTAAGATCAGAATTTTATGTGACTATTAAAATTTAATTCGTTTTCGACACTTTGAAGTGAACGAATATTTGATTCTTTTAGGGGGTATTGACCTAAAAGGTTCATTCATTCATTCTAAACGACGGATACGTAATGACACGTTTTGGTAGGTTTATAATTTCTTTATTAGTATTAACGCTTGTAGGTAGGTATATCGTATAAATTTTATTAACCACAATGTTTTAAATTTTATTTTTATTATCTTGCACTAGCGTTCGATTAAAGTAAGCCGAAACCTAATTTTCAATTCATATTTTCAGTGGTTTTCAGTTATTTTCGTTGCCATTTATGTAACTGTATTAACTGAATGCACCTATTTGAGTATATCTTCATGTATTTACATTAGAGGGTTGAACCCTGACTATAGTTTTTTTTATCAAAGTCACATGGACGATTTCATAATAAACATGAAAAGTGGTATATATATATATATAGTGATCCGAAGACAAGTTACGGTGTAAGATTATAGATATAGTTGAAAATACACGAGTCATACGGGTTCGGACAGGATTCGCTTTTAGTTTTTTTCTATTGTATCGATAATTCCCACACCGCACCCCACACCCCATACCCCACCCGCAAAACGCACGCCGCATCGGACAGTTTTATATAAACGTATTTCCCTCACTGATATTTCCTGTTAAAATGGTTGAGTCTCGACCGTAAAATTTGGACACGGTCGACAGAGAGAAATTCGATTTACATTTTCTTTGTATTCAAGGATAAATTCGTCTCAAAAGCTTACCGGTTACCCTTTCTATTTTTCGAATGTACCACCAGAGGTAAAAGGAGCATACTAGTACCCCTAGGGCTAACAATATTAGATTTCGGAGAAGGGAGGGGTTGATCATTAAATTGAAAGGAGTTACCTTGTTCTATTGATTTCTTGGGTAGTTTCAATCATCGTTATTTCCACATGGACACGGCTTCAAGCTAGTACGAACTTCGTATTATACATCATTAGCTATGTGGACTCTCTGAAAGGGATACTGAGTTGATAAACCTAAATACAAAATAAACACCGTTAGCTATGTGGACTCTCTGAAAGGTATGCTGAGTTTACAAACCTAAATACCACATAAACATTATTAGCTATGTGGACTCTCTGAAAGGGATGCTGAGTTGATAAACCTTAATACTAAATAAACATTATTAGCTATGTGGACTCTCTGAAAGGGATGCTGAGTTGACAAACCTATATATCAAATAAACATTTTTAACTACGTGGACTCTCTGAAACGAATGTTGTGTATGTATGTATTTGTAAATTAAGCGATTTGATTGGATTGTACGCTAGCGAATACAGCCAATCAGAGCCTTCAACAGAAAGACTATTATAAATTTGGCTGTGCATGTAATCGTGGGCTATGATTGGCTGTATTCTCTAGCGTATCATCCAATGAATTCGCTGCATTAACAAACTTCTGTGAAACAAGGAAGGTGACTATTGCAGTCAAGGTATTAAACGTAGTTCGTTATAGCTTGACATCAAGAAAATTGTAATAGCTTGACATTGTGAAGATGTATAAGACGTTGTTAGTAATAGCCTCACATTGAAATGGCTGCATTATATGATACAATAAAGGTGACTTTTGCAGTCAAGGTATAAGGCGTAGTTCGTTATAGCTTGAAGGTGGTTGGTGTTGTACTGAATGACTGTAGTTTTCTATGAACAAGGTTTTTATTAAGGTTCGGATTTTGAATATGCGATTATCAAACATTGTGTTCATTTTTCAAAAGAACTGGTGTGTTATAACACAAACACCCGTTTCTCAAGAAAGGTGCAAATTTACTAAAAAATATTTGGCCATGACATATTAAAAAAAAACTTATTTCAATTCAAAGCAGACGCAGGCGGAATGAATCAAATCGAACAAAGAACAGAATGCGGTTTATGGTGACCAATGAAAACCACATAAAGATTTTCTATGAATATTCATCAACCATATGATCCCAGAATGTAAAAAATTTGTTTTTTCAACCAATCGTATTTCTAGCAGAATTTCAATATTGAGTGACTTGAATAATCCATTTGATAGTGATAAAAAATACTTGTGGACTCTCTGAAAGGACTGCAGAGTTGATAAACCTAAATAAAAAATTAACATTATTAGCTATATGGACTCTCTGGAAGGAATGTCTTAAAGGGATAGCTTCGCCTTTTTCGTGTGTTGATTTGAGTCTTGAATATATGTAAAAAGTCTTCAGAAAAACAAGAAATGTATGAAAATAATTCTTTAAAATAACATGAAACAAGGAATTTCACTTTCTATTTCTATATGTCTTTTCTATATAGTACAAGAGTTAACGCAGATAATTCTTGACACACGTAGATTTGAAGGCTCAAATTTCAACAGTGAGCTGTGAACACTATTACTGATTAGCTTAGCCAAAATGTACGGTACGATTGGCCAAACGGATGTCGAACTTGTCTCTTTAATGGCAATATTTCATCTCATAAGCTGGAATATTCGGGTTGGGATCTGATACGATAAGAGGGCCTACTCTACCCCCACATCCTATTGTTATCGAAATGAAACAATGAGGCTATAATAGGGATTTTAAGGATCTGTTTGACAGGATCCTGTTTCGTTCAGGATTTTATAAACACGAGACCGGATTATATTTGTCTTATCTTTCCTTCCTTGTTTTTTAATTATTTTTTTTTAATAATTTACGATTTAGTTAAATTAAGTTCATATCAAAATTGAAGTAGGTGGTAAGGGGCTAACAATAAGCTAGGACGTAAAACTCAATTATATTCAGTTTGTCGAAATTATAACCAGTAAGCTAAATTTGATAAATGTTACGAAAGGGAATTCTAGAACATTTTTAAACCGACAAGCTGTCATGCTTACATTGCGGTCACCGCTCCCAAGACTTATAAACTACACCAGATAGAAATAATGGCTTCAATGGAGGGGCGGGCATTTTATAACAGGATGGCTTTTGGGCTTGTGGACAGCTAGAACCCTCTATGTGTATGCCATAATATCCAGACATCTTTGAGTTGTATTGTGAACGCCTTTAATTTGTCTATTTTCAGTGATGAACCTGTTGTTGATACAAATTTTGTGCCTGGCGTCGGCACTCGGCATCCTAGATGGTACGTATCGTTTACTGGCATCAATATTAGGACACTTCGGACATACAAAAGTCGAAATTTGGTCGAGGACCATCGCTAAGATGTTTGTCAAAGGACAACTGATAGAAAGGATTCTCCATAACCTTAGTTGTTGTCCTTGTAAAATCATAACCAAGAGATTTGGCTATGGACAAGCTGGTAGACAGGATCCTTGTGACCGAAGTTGTTATGCTTGTTAAATCATTCCAAAGAAGTTTGACCAAGGACCAGCTGGTAGAAAGGATCCTTGAGAACCTTAGTTGTTATCATTGTCAAGATATTTGGCCAAGAACCAGCTGGTAGACAATATCCACTAGAATCGTAGTTGTTATCCTTTTCAATCCTTTATGCGTTATGCAGTACAAATATTTGTCCAATCTGTCACCATTTCAATCATATTATCCTTTCAACACGCGTTCATGATTTTGAACTCATCATCAGTCAATTCAATGAACAATTTTCACTTAATCGACGTAAATCTCCATTCCATTGTATCTTATCGTATTGTTGTTTTACAGCTGCGTCCAAATATTACTCGTATAAGTTTATTCTTACTGCCGATAATTTAGAAGGAATGGTAGACGAAGGCGCAGATGATAACACCTACGTCCACGTTCTAGACCCGGAACGCACACCGTCTGGCGAATTGAAAGCCAGTGAAGAACATATTTTTATTGAAATATCCACAACCGCGGTAAGTCTACGGTTATTTAGGCCCCTTAGTTGTGTGGATTTATCAACTCTGTCAGTCAGGCAGGCCGGAGGGACTGACATGGAAAACGCGTGCAGTCGTTCGGATAGGACAATGAACCGAGACCCTTTGTGTTACAGGCTGTACATGTTAAAGATCCGTTGGCAATCGAAAAAGAGTAGGCGAATGTCACTGTCCTGGAAAAATTTCACTCATTGCACACTGCACGGTATTGCCCTCATTAGCCTATAGGCTAAGGTGCAGATAAGTAGGACGTAAAACTCCATTCATTTCATTTCTACAATGTTATCAGATAGCTTATGGAAACTATCAATGCTTTCTGTTTTATTCCAGTATCGTAAAGAATATTTTGACAGGCTTGGTCTGGATATAGAGAACGACAAGATTGATTACACTCCAGAATTCAGGAGCATGAACTCATCTGCGAAGAATTCCCTGCCAAAAGATATCAAAATTGAAATAATTCACACCACAGCTTTTAAAGTTTTCCCAGATTTTTCTCTCCGACTGAGTGAAGATTTGGATGAACTCAGAAAGAAAACAGTCATTCAGTTTTATGTAAGTTATCAGAATTCTTAAAAATTTATCGATTCGATTTGGCCTTATGTGAAGGTGGATGCTCTCGAACCTAGCGTTTTAGGGTTCGATTCCTACAAATTTCGAGTTGAAACGGTCAGAATTTACAAGCAGTGTTGCATTCGGAGAAGCTGAAATGGAAAAAGTATCTCGTCGTTTAGATGGGGTAATACACCGGGGCTTCTTAAACTACAGACTGTACACGTTAACTATCCCGTAAGAGTTGGAACTCAACTAAGAGTAAAATTAATGCCCTACACTACATGGCGTTGTCCACCACAGCCGAAACGGCCGCAAAATATAGAGACAAACCCTTATCCCTTTTATTCTGACAGTCGGAAGATGATGCTGAAAAACCTAAACGCAACATCAATCTTATTGTTTGTTTTTCTGCTTCCAGGTTTTATTGGCCAATGTTACCAGTGCTGAAATCGTATCAAACCCGCTACCATTTATGGTGTTCGTGAAACAGCGACCAGTTAGCCTAGAGGAGCATGGTGCTGCCATCTACGCCGGTATCATTGTGCTAATCATTGTGGCCATCGCATTACTAGTTCCGTTCACCGTACGTGCTAAACGTCGACGACGTGCCGGTAAACCGATCTGCGGATTCGGCAGCGCGAAATCTCCTGAAGATATCCAGAAAGAAAAGCTCGCTGGAAAAGACAATGCTGCTATGATATTTGACGATGGAAAAAATTTCTCGAGACGCAGTTCCACCATAGAGCCTGGACACGAGTCGTTTCAACAACACATGGTGCGTTCCGTTTCAGACTTTCACTTCCAACCGAAATGGTTGGATCCACATTACTCTGACGCACACCTGCCACCGCAATCGCATCATCATCACCACCATCATAATAATAACATGACCAACGGACAGCTACATCCTAATGGAAAGCGTACTGAAGAACGACTGTAATGACTATGCAGTAGAAAGTGCTAAATATTTCTTGCGATGTGCGCGATGTTTTATTATAATTTAGACTTGATGGGGAGCCAGAAAGATATGTAGAAGTGAGAACTCTGAGTATACATACTGACAACAGCTCCATCGGAAGCCCTCACTTCAGTCTGAACGTTTTCATGTTATTGCCAACGAACAGGGTGTCTGATTCTTAATTTGGGAAGTTATATGTATAGCTGCAATTGAACTATCAGCTCGTCACTTTCAATAGAATGATTTAATTGCCGATGATCAGAGTGCCAGATTCTCACTCTGAAAAGGGACATGTATAGCTGAAATGAAACTCTATCAGCTAACAGAGATCGTATTGAGATAACTATATCCCTTAAAAAGGAGTCACTTTAACGGGGGCAATATCAGCTAATAGATGAAATATATATCATTTTAAAGGGAATATCAACTGGAAAAGCCACAAGAAACTAAGTATAGTTCTTACATAGAAATAACACACACGAACGTAGTTGAAATGAAATGTGGGCTAATGAAGACGGGCAACGCCGTGCAGGGTGCAGTGAGGGAAATTTTGCCAGGACAGCGGCATTAACGAATGTAGTTATCAACCATTTTGATTCACTACCTCGACTTAATAAGTCGAATGTTTAGAAAAACTATAACATTTCAAATTAGCTTTCAATAACATTTTAAGAATTAGAAAAAGATTTCAATGTGATTTGAATTCGACTTATTAAGTCGAGGAAGAGATTCAAAATGGCTGTTAACTACGTTCGTGTGTTATTTCCATGTAAGAACCATACGTAGTTTCATATGCTGAAAAAGCATCATTTAGATGACGGTAACAATAATTATGAATCAAGTTTATAAATGAAAACTACAACAACAATTAAAAATGGTAAAGTACAGACTGTATACTAGGATGGGTGTATATGACGTCATGACTGTGTTTTATTGACATTTTGTGATCTATACACCTACTAGTTGTACTTATAAATATAAATAAAGTAGATAATGTAGTATCTTGTTTATCTCTTAAACGGATTGGATACCTTATTTAAAAAGGGATGTAAAGTAGATCCGATCGGAGGGGGAAAACTTGGCTGAAAAATCCTCAAACACGGAAAACGCAGTTTCACGAAATAAATGTAATGAACACGGCCTGTACCAATTGAGGCCTTGGTTTATAAGTCTGCTTGCACTATTGTTATAGCAAATATTTCCATACTAAAGCAAATTAAATTCGGGCGTTCGTGTTCGTGTGTTATTTCCATGTAAGAACCATACGTAGTTTCATATGCTGAAAAAGCATCATTTAGATGACGGTAACAATAATTATGAATCAAGTTTATAAATGAAAACTAGAACAACAATTAAAAATGGTAAAGTACAGACTGTATACTAGGATGGGTGTATATGACGTCATGACTGTGTTTTATTGACATTTTGTGATCTATACACCTACTAGTTGTACTTATAAATATAAATAAAGTAGATAATGTAGTATCTTGTTTATCTCTTAAACGGATTGGATACCTTATTTAAAAAGGGATGTAAAGTAGATCCGATCGGAGGGGGAAAACTTGGCTGAAAAATCCTCAAACACGGAAAACGCAGTTTCACGAAATAAATGTAATGAACACGGCCTGTACCAATTGAGGCCTTGGTTTATAAGTCTGCTTGCACTATTGTTATAGCAAATATTTCCATACTAAAGCAAATTAAATTCGGGCGTTGCAAGTGTAAGCAAAGCAAACCAACCGTAACAAGTATGCAATTACGTAAATAATGACTAACGGAAGAAAAGACCAGAAACGAAGTATAAAAAAGTAACAAGTGCTTGCTATGATTCATCAAAAAATCACGAGTCGTTTAAAAATTACCATTGATTCGGCAGTTTCAAACTTCATATTATTAGTTACGGTAAACAAGTTTTCTCAAGACCTAAAAAATAAATAAACGAAACGAAAATAACCTTGAGACAATAATTTTATAGGATAACCACTTAGGATCTGAAGAATCCTGTCCACCAGCTGGGTCTTGGGCTTGCCCATTTTCTATCATTTCCCAAGGATAACAACAAAGATTCTGGTCCTTGGTCAAACCTCTTGGTAATGGTTTGACAGACAAAATAACTTAAATTTTCTAGAATACGAGGGTAACAAATTAGAACCTGAAGGATCCTGTCTACCAGATGGTCCCTGGCCAAACCTCCTGAGAATGATTTTACATGGATAACAATTTAGGTTTCGAGGATCCTTTTACCACCCAAGATGGTGAAAAAGCATAGAAGCATAACAAACACACACAGCGATTAAAGAACTTATAGATAGGGAATTACCCTTTTTGTGATGAAATTGACGAGGACTTGAGTGGGTTGGGGACCCTCCTCTGTGAATTTTAATATATATTCTCTTGCATTTTCGCTTGGGGTGGGGCGCAGGACTGGGGGTCAGTTGATTTGGTTTAATCAGTCCCAATTGTAGTTGAGCCATTGGACGCAGGCTAAGAAAGGGGGGTGGGGGATGAGTCCACCATCAAAAGAGCACCCTAAATTACAATATTTCGCTTTTGTGACCGAGGCATCCCTATTTCATCCCCCCCCCCCACACACACCAATATCCCAAAACTGACACTACCCCGACCCTGAATTCCGTGTAGGTTTATAAATAAGAGTAAAGTTCCGTGTAGAAGTTGATATTTCACAAATATGAACAAACAAATAAATGTCGCTGAAGGATTAAATATGAACGTGTCGTCTGGCAGTAGGTTTATAAACTCAGCATCCCTGACCGATAAAAATCGTTAAATCAATATTGAGAACAAACTTCAATAATTAGAACTTACCTATTCTTCAGAAGAACCATTTTGCGTTGCTGAAAAAACAGATTTTACTAATTCTTACTTCACTATGAAGGAAAAAGCGTCCACGTTTACACACTTCATTCTTGTTTACAATGATGGTGCTCGATTGATCAGCTCTACTCGTCCGGGTTTTAGAGAATCCGCCTGGACTCGGAACAAACGGTACCTGTTCAGACACCACCAATCGAGCGCCTCTATATTGGAATTTATTTCAGAGAGTCCATCTAATTGACTTAGCAGACATTCCACAAAGCTAATATTTTTTTCAATTCGCCCCACAGCTTGATATTTGGTTTTGTAAACCTCGCCCCCCTTTTAGAGAGTTCACATGGTTATAAACGATCTAAGTATTTCACAATTCGATGAGTAGAAAATAAAGCTTTAATTACAAACTGACGAAAAGATACAAAAGAGACAACAAAAATAATTAAAAAAAATCACACATAAAAATAAAGACACCACAAGGTTGAAATCAAGGTTTTTCAATGACAGCTGGTAGAGCACTGAACGATACAGACCCGTTAACTTTTGGTTTCTCAGTGCCATTTAAAGGATCGTAAGTTGTGGCCGAAGTATCGTAATGTGGATCCAGCCATTTTGGTCCGTAATGGAAATGGGAAGTCGCTAACGAACTACGACGGACTTTTTGCTGACCGTTGGCGAATACCATTGCAGGGTTGTCGAATACTTGCGGTTCCGACTTCTGTTGAATTTCTTCGATAGAGCTTTCTTCATTTCCTTCAGCGCTTCCACATCCACAGATTGGCTTGCCTGCTCGTCGTCTGCGTTTAGCACGGACCGTAAACGGTAACAGCAGTGATATCGCCATGATGATCAACAGAATCACTCCAGCGTAGATGGCGCCACCGTGTTCCTCGTTATTTCTCGGGGTTTTCTTCACGTAAACGAGAAACGGAAGTGGGTTGGAGACGATGGAAATGCTTGTTGTATTGACCAACATAATCTGAAAACAGAAATGGAAATTCAAAGTTTTAAATACTTTTCTGCTCTTAATAAGTCAATGAAGACAGACAACTACAAGAAGTGTTCAATGAGGACAATTTTATATGTATAAAACTAAATAAATACATGGAATATATAAGTAAGTAGCGAGCAGGGCATGCTGAAAAATCCGGAACACCTGACGACACTCTGTCACTGGGTATTCAGGTGTGCCATTCCTTTAAGAGAGTCCACATAGCTAATTATGTTTACTTGTAATTTAGATTTGTCAACCAGCCATCCGTTTAGGATAACATATAAAGTATACTTGGGTTTGTCAACTGGGCTTTCCTTTCAGAGAATCCACATATCTAATATTGTTTATTTTAAATATATTTATTTTTATACCCTTACATAAAACTGAATTGTAGCTTTCCTTTCCAATTCGCCCAGATCTCCGGTCAGTCGGAGAGAAAAATCAGGAGAGACTTTGAAAGCACGGGTATGAACGATCTGGATCTGTATTTCTTGTGGCAGTGAGTTGTTCAGGGAACTGTTCATGGACGTGATCTCTGGTGGTAGATCTACATTGTCTTCCTTCAGCTTCCGATTGAGACTCTTAAAATAGTCTTTACGATACTGGAAATAGTAAAATACTTCATATGTCAAGACTTAAAGGTTTTCTTAACTGTGTGTGTATATCAGAGACACTGATAGCATCAATTTTTATCTTATATGCCTAGGTTTAGTGAAATTATAAGAACCACAGATGTCTGATTGAAAATTGGCATGGTAGAAATTGATACTCTCAGTGACCACGATACACAAAAGTGCTATCAATGTACTCTGTATAATCCTTTTGTGAGTGTACAATATTCTCAAATTTGACTCCATTGTACACTGATATTGATATCGTCATGAGTCTAAAAGAATACAGGAACAGAAAAGGCAGCGAATACTTGCCAAAATGTCCCCTATTGTACACTACCAGGCGTTGGTATCTGGTAGAGTTTACAAGCATATACAGGCCACAAAATAAGGCACTGAATATTCGACCCATGCCCCACTGTACACTGCAAGAAGTTGATATCCTCACGAGTTCAAAGTCTACACGCACAAAATAAGGTACAGAATGCTCGCTCTATGCCAAAATGTCGCCTTTTCTACAATGCCAGGCGTTGATATCTTTGAGTGTTTAAAACCTTAGGCATAAAAAGATATATTTTGATTTGACTCAAGGGCAATAACTCAAAACTTACCTGTGAGGTAGATATTTCAATGATAATTTTATTATCGCTAGCATCGAGTGTGCCGGTCACGACTTGATCTTCATCCAGAGCCATAATGACAGTTTCTCTGGCAGCTGCCTCGTCAACGATCCCTTCCAGATAGTCAGCGTTCAGGATATATTTATAGGAGTAATGCTCCGAGGCTCCTGGAAAAATAAGGGTCACATACGTGGGGTCAGATCAGTGGAGGCGCCATTGGGGTGCAGGGGGAACCCTCAGAAAAACTTATTGTACCCGAACCACATGTCAAAACGGGTTTTTTACCCTATAATATTTGTCCGAATGCAGCAAATCAGTTATATTTTTCAAAACTGTTCTCGGGGACAACCCTCAAGACCCTTCAGTCCGCCTTCCGATTCCGCGTCCGCTTTTGCATTCCATCCTTGACAGTTGTCCCCAAATTTAGTCGGTCTGCCCCTTTTTGGTACCTCCTGTTTCAGAGGCTCACCCCGTCACTGGGGGCTATTTGAAGCATCTGTTATAAGCATAAAATCAACCAAACAACACAGCATCATCCAATTTGAACCAATCAAGCTACCAACTACTACTACTACCAACAACTATCTAGTTTGTGATACCGCTGGAAGCGAACGTTAAGTTGTTATCTACCAACCAACTAAGCATAAAGTAAGTACGCTTCGGACCAGGTTGGCAGCCAGGCGTGACCCACGCTTCTGCATATGACATCTCTTTCACGAGTCAACCAGCCAGCATTATGTAACTTCGTCACAACCGAACTTAAGGAACACAACTTTGAAATAAGCGAATATCAATAGCAGTATGCAAGTTTATATTAAATCGGTGTGCTATTATGCCTATTATAATTACAACCGTGCTCTGTTTATTGGCACAAGTAATTCATAATAGATTGCTTTTAATATGTTCGCTATTCAGATATTGATAACAAAGACGTGTAAATTTATTTTATATTGAGATATATTGTAAGTAGTTTTCTAGTCTGTGTGTGTATTTAATGTACAGGGTCATGTAGTAATGTAGTAATTACATCATATTTTATATGTATATTATATAATATACAGAGATTTTCAACCATTTTCTTTATATTACATCTTTTAGGATCCTTGATCGATTGCATTACCCCCTTCCCCCTATAAATCCTTACCATTACCCCCCTTCCCCCTATAAATCCTTACCATTACCCCCTTTCACCTTTAAATCCTTACCATTACCCCCTTCCCCCTATGAAACCTTACTATTACACCTTTCCCATGTAAATCCTCACTATTACCTCCTTCGCTCTATAAATCCTTACTATTACCCTCTTCACCCTATAAATCCTTACCACTACCTCCTTCCCGCTATAAATCCTTACTATTACCCTCTTTCCCCTATAAATCCTTACCACTACCTCGTTCCCGCTATAAATCCTTACTATTACCCTCTTCCCCCTATAAATCCTTACTATTACCCTCTTCCCCCTATAAATCATTTCTATTACCCTCTTCCCCCTATAAATCCTTACTATTACCCTCTTCCCCCTATAAATCCTTACTATTACCCTCTTCCCCCTATAAATCCTTACTATTTCGTGATTTTTTCTTCGGTTTTCCCTGAAATCTTTTTCATGTCTGAGAATATAGTCTGACTGAATACAACTTAAATTATAATTGTTTAAATATTTCATGCTAGACTACAAAGCGCTTCATTAAACATTAAACTCAATATTCCAAAATGAGACCCTAGGGGTAACCCCAGAGTGAGAAGTCAATGCAGGAAATTTTGCCAGGACAGCGACATAAACCTATTCCTTTTAGATTTCCTTCCTCAACAAACACACCCCCCCCCCCCCCCTCCCGTCTGTCCCGCAGAAAAAATGAAAATCTGCTTACCGTCCAGAACTCCTAACGACGTCGTCAGACATGTTAACTCAATCAAAAGCAAACACAAAACTGAAAAGACAATAATAAAAAATTTACAAATTTACTCATAGTCTTTGTATATTGGATTTTATCCGAAGCTTAATAACAGATGTACAGCTGACGAGGGGATTATATCCGAAACCTGCGGTGGCATTATTAAACGATGTATTTTAATAAGACACAATTGTACTAAATACAAACATTAAGATACTTATCAACTTTGAATATTAATTCAGTTTTTTAAATACATACATTCAAATACTTACTAATTTTGAGTATAAATTCCATTTCGACAATGAATTCCAGAGCAAAATATTATTATTTTAGCAGCTAGATCAAATATCTGACGTATCAACTATCACAAGATCCTGTTTCAATTTAGCATTTTAAGTTTTTATGCGACCTTCACACAACCTCAGCCCACTTCCGCAATTTGATATTCATTTCAAAATCGTTCAGTGATTTTATTTGCTTTGCTTTTACTCTTAAAGTCTTATATTAAAAATCCGTATTCTGATGAGGATTGTGTACCCAAAACACGTGTCGGTAGCATGAAATGAGCTCTAGTCAATTAGATAACTTTAAGCCCAATTAGAAACTTAATCCCCGTAACCACAAGCTGTCCTGATGAGGATTGTGTATACAAAACACGTGTTAGCAGCGTGAGGTTTAGTCAACTGGAACCAAACTTGAGCATTCCCACTCCCATTCCATTCTTACCTGGTTGCAATTTTAAAATCACCATCCTTTTAACGCAGGAACAATCACAAAGCAAAATATGACCTAAGTTCGTTTAATCGTAAGTTTCATCTCGACGTTTCTTTAAAAATGCCCACTCGTTTTTATTTTGAATACCTTGTAAGTCGCTCGCCAAATATGCATGATTATGAATTTATTTACATTTGACTGTATTGTAATGTTAAATTCAAGAGCCGCTCCTTTTATTAATCTTAAAGGAATAAGGTAGTCTAGAAATTGGCTTTAACAACTGATAACACTCATCAAAATAAAAATTCGGCATCTGGCTCGTCCGCAATTAAAAAATCGTACAGTCGGAAAATGACGACCATGGAATATTTAATCGTTATTAACACTCTTTTAAGCAATAACCACGATGACAAAGTTTGCGAGTGTGAAGGGTGGAGAGAGTGCTTGAGATTGTATGAAGGTGGGGGTGGGTGTGATAATTTTTCTTGGCTGTCACCCTGCGAATCTATGGTTGAAATAAGCAGTAGCATATTTTTGGAAGTTTTTTCATTCATGCTTGTAAGTTTGCGCTTGATTAACAAATAAGGGAGAACATATCTTTAAGTTTAACTTTTGAATACTTATTCTTTGGACTTGAAAATGAATGAGAAATAATTGAATTAGTGGATGAACCCCAGTGGAACAAATCGGGTTTAACGACACATAATAGGACTGTCATAGAGTAAGCCAGTCAAACGTTGTGCTCTGATTGATGAATAAATTTGAATTTGATAATTAGTAGGCGTGGTTATGAAGCTACTTCCGGGTCCAGGTGTCGTTTCTAACATTGTACCAGGTGAAATATGCAGAGTTCATTCTCGTCAAATGTCATTCGTAGCATGTCATAGCGTCCTTGAACACCAGAAAAAATAAGTCATGACCCCATGCAGTGTGCAGCAAAGAAAAATCTTGCCGGTACGATTGAGCTATTTTGATATCACTCCCTTTAGTATTTAATTACTGGTGTGGGGTTAGAATGTTGAAAAGAGACATATGAAATGAAATAAATGGAGTTTTACGTCCTACTTTTCTGCACCATGTGGGCTAATGAAACGGGCAATGCCATGCAGTGTACAAGTAGGGAATTTTTGCCAGGGCAGCTGCATTAGCTTGCTCTTCCAACTGTCGAGGATCTTTAACGTGCACATACTGTAGCACATGGGCCTCGGTTTAATCGTCATCCGAACGACTAGACGCCTTTTCCATATCAACCGAAGTATAAATGTCCTTGATACAAAGGATAAGAAAACGTCACCAAACACTGGGTTTAAGTTGAATTGCAGGAACCACAGACGTCTGATTGGAAATTGCTATCAGAGTCCTCGATACAATCCCTTTACATTCCCATTTCTCATTTCCAATGACCATTTCGTTAGTAAATAGTTTCTTACGCTACAAGTAAATAGGTATTTCACCTCAGGTAGTTTGACACTATCAAACAAGGAAGTCAAGACAGACAATCCAAATATTGAGTTTTAAAGGAAGATACATACGTAATTTTTAAAATAGACACTGATAAAATTCAATTCAAGTTAAAAAAAAAACATCCCTTTCAATATCAGACTATAACATTTAAAAATTTCATTTTTTTTCTATTCATTTTATTAAATAATACGACAAAGTTACATTTTATTTTAATGGTGTTTTAAAGGGACAGATGCGCCATTTTGGGGGTTGATTTTAGTCAAATATATGTAAATAATCTTCAGAGTTACTAGAAATGTACGGAAATCACATAATTCCTTCAAAAATACTTCAAATTATGAATTTACTTAACCTTCTATATATGTCATTTCTATATATCACAGAGTATCTTAAATTGACGAGTTGTCATTTAAACATTCGAACGCAGATAATTCTGAACACACATGGATTTGAAGGCTCAAATTTCGACAGTGAGCTGTGAATACTATTACTGATTAGCTCAACTAAAAAAATCCAGTTTCTGAGACAAAAGTTTGTTTTGTCAAAAAAAAAAAAAAAAAAAAAAATAGTTTACTGTTATAAGTTCTTGAATGAAACTTTCAACTGCATTTAGTTCATGGCAAGTTGATATGATATATGTTTGTCTGGTATATTTAGTAAGTTACAGTATCCCTCAATCAATATGTCGCACCAGCAATACAATTAACGGTCTTCAGTCCAAAACTTTTGACCAGTTGCAGTCTTCTACTTTGAAACATACACAAAACATCTTATACAGACGAGGATAGTAGCTTGCAAGAAATGTACACACCGCTGTCAGCAAGTCATTGCAAGCTGAAATAGAAAAACAGACATGTTAGTAACAATAATCATCAATTTATTGACATTTGAAACAATTTGCAGACAGTAAACTCTTCCAAGTATGACTACAATTTTACTCACCTTGTACCATTTGAATATTTTCTAGTGTGCTCTGAATTGATTTCATAAGGGGTTTTCTTGCTTGTTCAGGTATCTGGAATCTGTTTTTTTCTATTGATGCACTGTCTGAAACTTGTTCTTTTTTCACAATTTCTAGTGTGTATTGAATAGTTTCCACCAGGTCTTTCCCCACATCTTCAGGCATCTTGGCTCCGAGATCTTCTTGTTTTTTTTTCACAAGTTCTAGTATGGATTCAATAGATTTCACAAAGGCTTCTCTTTCCATTTCTGGCCCCAGTCTAATCATTTTCTCCGTAGGTTTGGTGGCAACGAGCATCACTAAAAACACCACTACTGCACAAAGCACTGCCAGAACATTACTAAAAAATACAAAATACTTAACGGTTAAAATACATTTCACTTTTGACACATAACATTTAACATATAGCATATAGCATTCCCAACTCATAGCATTATCAAAATATAACACATTGCATATACCAACACACATAGCATTACCAAAAACACATAGCATTACCAAAAAACACATAGCAATACCAATTACCATTAGCACCACATATCATAATATATCATTTTTTAACACATAAAATTTTGAGATATCTGGACCGTCGTCCTTGAAATGTTGGGGACCGAGACGTGAAACTAATACAATCAAACTTTACTTACCCTTTTAGATACATCCTGACTTAAGCTTCTCTTCAATACGATATATAATAACAGACTGATCAACAACTCCCAATGGTTTTAGAATTAAGAGCTAAGTCACAGTAAACCTTCTTCAGCAGCCACTTCTTCCTTCTTCAGCCGGAACAACAACAATGATCTGGTCATAAGACATGAGGCGATACAGTCGCTGCACACGGGAAGTTTGAAGTCTTATTTCAACTCTTTTGTTACTCAGTAATATTGTTCATTTCTAATTTTTTCCGAATATGATATTTAGTTTATATCACTATTGAAGGCAGAAGACAAAATATGTAATCGTTAACAAAAAGAAGTTAAACATGTCTTACAAAGAGACTTTATACTCTTTTAATCCATGTTATATAAATTACGTATATGTTGTAAAACATACCAAGCAATTCGACACCACCTTAAAGGCATTGTAAGAAGATTTTCTAATAATTCATGTGTTTTAGGGACACTGCTAGTATCGATTTGCACCACTCCGTGCTACAGGTTGTGCACGTAAACACACCTCAACCTCAACCCCCCCGACAGTTGAAAATCTAAGAGTAGGCTAATGTCCCAGCCCTGACAATATTTGAGAAAGGCAGAAATTCATTCTATTTCATGAAGGGCTATCACAAAACGAAAGAAGACTTTAATATATAGAACGTAATACTATATTGATTTCATGTAAATATATAAAGGAGGTAATATCGTATATATCAAGTTAATAATAGTTGATACTAAGAAGAGATTCAGTAGGGCGTTTACTCCGACTATCTAAACAATAATGAAGAATGTTTCTTCCTGGTTTGACTAAGGAATTATTATCACAAGAAAAGCGTGGGCCTTAACCGAGAAACAACCATAAATAAGGCAAAAAAAGAAGGGAAACTATTGATATAAAGATAAAATGATAATAATCAGTAAGAATCGTAGTTTACACAAATAACAACGTAAACACAACCCGTTAAGGAGCATGTTCCTTTAGCAACAATGCACAAGGTTAATCATACCGTTACTAAATGAACGGTATAAGCGAGTCATATGATCAAATACATTTCGTACACATGAAAATAAATAATTAATCAATTAAAAGTAACCACCATATCACTGCTAGTCTGAATATAAGGTAATCAGTCATATATCTAATCTTGTGAGAAATAATCCTGCATCATCGGAATAAAATTATTTACTTCTTCTATATATACAGCGTATTCTATACCACCCAGGAAAGTATCTTTGAAGTATAGCACAGATCGCATTCGACCAAAATGCTAAAACAGAAAAAGAGATAGCTTAATATTAATAATAAATTAATATATTTGTGTAACAATAAGCTCGCCAAAGTCAAATTTTAGGAATTTTAGAAACCAGTGACACTAGATGGAAGAGTAGAATGTTCGAAATAGAAGAAAAACTAAACAAAATTGAAAAATACAGCATAGACCAACAGATTAATGAAAAATAGCACTCACGCGCAGGTCGGTGTAAAATGTTTATTACTGTTTTTTTTGTCACAAATGGATGCCGTATGATTTGGTTCACAAAGTCTTCTGTGTTCCGTGGCGGCACAAATCTGGGAACGCGTAGCCTTTGTTTGGCGTCAATAATCACCACAAAGAACACTACCATTATACAAAATACTACCAGAACATTGCTGAAATATACAAACAATATATATACTACATAGCACTACCAACACATAGCATATACCAGCACATAGCATATACCAGCACATAGCATATACCAACACATAGCATATACCAACACATTGCATATACCAACACATAGCATATACCAGCACATAGCATATGCCAACACATAGCATATACCAACATATAGCATATACCAACACATTGCATATACCAACATATAGCATATACCACCCCATAACATATACCAACATATAGCATATACCACCCCATAGCATATACCAACACATAGCATATACCAACACATAGCATATACCAATACATTGCATATACCAACATATAACATATACCAGCCCATAGCATATACCAACATATAGCATATACCAGCACATAGCATATATCAACATATAGCATATACCAACATATAGCATATACCAGCCCATAGCATATACCAACA